TGACGTAACACTGGGGCTGAATCTAGTCCGAATGGCATAACTCGCCATTGGAATAGTCCACGACCCGGTACGGTAAACGCTGTGTATGGCTTACTCTCCTCCTCTTTAGGTCTAGACTGCTAATGAATTTTGCATTCCTTAAGCGATCTAATATGTGGTGTATTCGGGGAAGGGGGTAGGCGTCTGGTACTGAACGCGCGTTGTGCTGGTTGTAATCAACGCATAGTCTCCACTTCCCGTTCTTCTTCTTCACTAGTACGATTGGCGCGCTGCGAGGACTACGGGAAGGCTCTATACACCTCTTTTCAATCAGTTCGTCCATCTCCATGTTTATTATGTCTTGCATTTTCGGATTCGGAAAGTATTGTTGCTTTATGGGTCGATCGTCTTCATGATGATGACATATTTTTTTGTACCGGAAATCTCATCGAATGCTCGTAATTCCTTCTTCAGAAATGCATCGGTATCTTTCGTGTTTGTAGTGCTTTTGTTTGGTTCGGGTAATATCTTAGTCTTTTCGGGTTGTTTCACCTCGTATATGTTCATTGACATGCATGCCTTTAGCCTCATTGTCTGCCGTCCGCAGATGATGGTTGTGTTCGCTTTTGCCAGGTAGTCCGTCCCGAGGACGACGCTCGAGTGTTCTCTATCGCCTATTTGTACGACTGCCTCCAACGTTTCTGTGACCGCTCTCGGTTTACCATCTCCCATCACCACCTTCTTGAACGCTCTTCTTGTCGGTCCCACTTTTAAACATTCGGCTATCTTCCTGCTGATGAAGCTTCGGTTTGCTCCCGTATCGATGGTTGCTAGCACGGGTTTTCCACCTACGGCTACTGTAGCGACTATACGTCCTTCGGTTTGCTTCATGCATGATTGTTTCAGATAAGAAGTTGCGATGCTGAATGGCGTTCTGGCACTCATAAGCGAAGTGCCCACTTTCGTGGGTTTATTCGAGGGGGCTACGAGTTTCTAATCTTCGCTTGGTGCGGTCGTGGTATCGGCGCCTCTCTTGTGAGTACATGCTGTCGTTCCTCGTAATGTCGTGCTGGTAACGCGTAACTACCTCTACGTGGTTCTTCTCTTATAGTATAGTTACGCTCTTCATTTCTCCTTGATGGCATTATCTTAACTGCAGCTCTAGATGGCTCTCTCTCTCTCTCATGATGTTTTCAAAGTCTTCGGCCAGACTTACTAGTTCGGTTAGGGTTCCGAACTCACCCTCTTTTATGTATAATTGGTAGTCACTCCTACAATTTCGGTATATGCGACGGAGTTTTTGTGTAGGCGTATACTCTGGATGCTTCATTAGCCCTTGGAGTGCGAGTACATATTCTTTAAATTCTTCTTTTGGTCGTTGCACACGTTGCCTGATTTCGTCATCTAGACGCTCAAAATAACGAGAATTCAGGAAGAACTTCAAGAAATCTCGTTTGAATGTCTCCCCGTTTTTCCATTGGCCGTGGTTACTACGGAGTCAGACTAAGGCTCTGTCCTTAAGTAGCTCCAGTAAAGCTCTCGGGAGCGCGTTTAATTCTACTTTGTAGCCGTGTGCTAATTCTTCGACGCGTTCGATGAAGCCCAGTGGGTCCTCTCCGGCGTCGTATTTCACACCCCACTTGCGAACGCGGTCCATCACTTTCATTGGTTGAACAATTGTGGGTAGATGTGGGTATACACCTCGATCATACGGGAAGACATTCCCGTCCCGCCGACGTTGCTAGGTTGCTGTGCCTGTGGCAACTGTGGCGACTCTTTTTGCTTCGGTGTAGGCGTGTTTGTTATCGTGAATAATTTCGCGTGTCTCAATGATAAGTCTGTGACCTGATCACGCAGACCTTCGCTCTCGCCCTCCTCCTGCAGAAATATAGCGAGGCGTTTTTGTAACTCGTCGACGGTACCTATATTCGATAGGCCGAACTCGGTGGAATATTTTATTAACTCCTCTTTGTTGGGGTAGTAAACCCAATTTACTTTAACCAGTTTATTTAATTTTTTTTCTCAGGCCTTTTATTGTGCCTCGCGCCTGTTTCTGTCACTTGGTTTTATTTTATATATATGTATTGTGTGTCACTGTAACTCGGATTCATGCGCGCTCATGTTTTTACTTCACTTCAATTTCACTTTTGGTTTCTTGTTACCAGTTGTAACGTTACCCGGTTCTCCGGTTTATAGCTGGGCTATCTCTCAGCCGGGTTATGGGCCTCTCCTATAATTTTGATTTCCGAAAGCGCAAGCAATGGACAACACGAAACGTTACACAGGTAGCTCTATTTTTAAATGTTCTAATGACAGCGTTTTCACATCAGCCGTATACTTCTATCTACTCCTATTGGCAGCGCTTGCACGACACACCATATATTCTATCTGCGACAGCACAAACAGAAGAGTTCTATCACTGCTGATGCTGCTCCTTTTATATTAAATTTTGCTAGCNATATATATATATATATATATATATATATATATATGTTTGTTTATAGATATTATTGTTGTTGTTGTTGTGAAGGCTCCAAGGTCATTGGCTTGGGGTCTTCACGCGGTTTTATGTTTGAATCGGAATTAGTGTCGGTTTTAAGTGTCACAGAAACAAAAATTATCGGTTTTGTTATCGGAAACAATCCAAGCAACTTACTGCTATTGGATTTTATTTGTGTAAACGTTTTTTTCCACTTGCAGTTACAAATTATGTGGAAATGCGAGTAAATGGTGGTTTTGAATAATAATAAATATTATTTATCTTTATCTTATTCGTAATAGAGAAAAACATAAAACTGCAAGACAAAATACAATCCTAATTGAATTTATGAAAAAATATCTTATCTATAATTATAAGCACATCATCCAAAATCATTGACACCGTGCTTCTACCTACACTTATTCTAGGATCATTCCCAACTGATCTTTGATAAGATCGGTGTTGACTGATAAGTGTCATAGTAGAAACTTAGATATTGTACATATATTTATATATTTATATGCATTGATAATAAATTTTGTTGTACCTCACCAAACAGCTTTTTTGGAATGGTTTCCATTTTTTTTTGAGTCTATAGCTTGAGTTGATATAGTTTGAAAAACATAGGACCAAAATCAACTCTTTTTCACATTGTGCAGTTATTTAGTTTCTTAAATTACCACTATTAACAATTCACATACTTACTTACTTACATTATTGGCGTAGACGCCGTTTACGCGATTATAGCATATTTACAACTGTGAGGTCCTTCTCTACCTGTTCTTTCCAACGGAGTGGAGGTGTTCCTCTTCGTCTACTTCCACCGGCGGGTACTGCATCGAAAACTTTCAAAGCTGGAGTATTCGCGTCCATATGGATCACATGGGCCGCTGCTTCTTGATTCGCTGAAATATGTCAATGTCGCCGTATAACTCGTACATCTCATCGTTCCATCGTCTGCGGTATTCGACGTTGCCAAAGCGCAAAGGACCATAAATCTTACGCAAAACCTTTCGCTCGAGAACTCCTAACGCCGTCCCATCGGATACTGTCATCGTCCATGCTTCCGCACCGTATAGCAGGAAGGATGAGGGACTTGTAGAGTTTGGTTTTCGTTCGTCGGGAAAGGACTTTACTTTGCAGTTGCTTACTCAGTCCAAAGAAGCACCTGTTGGCAAGAGAGATTCTGCGTTGGATTTCAAGGCTGACAGGAGATATTTCGTGTTGTCCTCGTTCACTACCTACCAGACAGCGGCGCGGTTGTTGGGGCCGATAATTTCAATATCATCGGCGTACGCCACTAATTGTACACTCTTATAGAAGATTGTACCTTCTCTATTCAGCTCTGCAGCTATAATTATTCTCTCGTTTGGTATCGAACGGCTCGGAGAGGTCATTCCCAATCCCGACTGCGCTCCTGGTGCTGTCTAGCGTCAGTTTACACAGCCGTATAAGTTTTTCGGGGATACCAAACTCAGATATAGCAAAATAAAGGCAGTTCCTTTTCGAGCTGTCGAAGGCGGCTTTAAAATCGACGAAAAGGTAGTGGGTGTCGATCCTCTTTTCACGGGTCTTTTCTAAGATTTGTCGCATGGTCTGAAGCCACACTGATAAGGTCCAAACTTTCACGCAATACGTTTGTCAGGACCGTACAGGCGATATTTAGGAAGCTTATCCCACGGTAATTGGCGCAGACTGTGGGGTCCCTTTTTATGGATTGCGCAGAGTACACTTAAATTCCAATCATCGGACATGCTTTCGTCCGACCATATTATGCAAAGTAGCTGATGCATAGTTCTGCCGGTAGGCCGTCGGCTCCCACCGCTTTGTTGTTTTTTAAGCGGGCGATTGCTGTTTGAACTTCTTCATGGTCTGATAATGGAACGCTTTTTCCATCGTCCTCGATTGGGGCTTCAGGTTAACCATCTCCGGACTCTCCATTTTCCATACTATTCAGCAGGTTGGAGAATTGTTCCCTCCATAAATTTAATATAGTCTGGGCATCAGTGGCTAGATCACCTCTTTGTGTCCTACAATTCATATGCTGATAGAAAAAAGATCTAATAAAGATTGTGATAAATTCGCTCATTTAAAGGTTATTCAAGGTAATAATATGCTCGTACATGCGAGCGCCAGTAGTTATCGATGTGTAGCCTCACAAACAACACAGCTTATGTATATATTGTATAATATAATATTTGAAGGAGTGAATTTATAAAACATCGCTAAAGATCTTTTTCTAGGCAGTTTAATTTTCTATAAGAATATATCCTGCACTATTCCACGTGTTATATAATGTATGAAAAGTTCCCATATAATTTACATGGAAGCACGCTAAAAGATAAGTAATAAGAAAAACAATGTTTATGAGGACAAATTAGGTATATGATAACCATTCATTAGGAACCAAATGTCTCAACTGATATTTTAATTATGATATCAAGAACATGCAGATATTAGGAATATGCTATTTTTTACATCATTAATTACTAATGAAATCAATGCCTTATAAAATACATACAAATGTTATTTTTTTACATACCTCTGCTATTAAGGACAAATTGCCTTCGGCATGCTCTATCATCAACCAATGTGGATACAATGCAATGCAACTTGCTATGATGAGTAGTACGTTGATACTAATGACAGAAAAAAGTAGTATTTTTAATTATTAAAATAGTTTTTACTAATTTTGTACATTTTGCTATTAAAATTTGAGCTTAATTCTTTGCATTAACTAAATGAAACAAATCAAGAAACATATTAATTTCTTTTATATTTATGTAACCAAAGTAAGCTTATATATGTATAGGATTAGGGATTTTCGGTAAAAGATACAAATTATGAAAAATCCTAGATTTGTGAATAATTTCAGTCAAAACCATTATAAGCTTTTAAGAAAACTGTGGCAATAAAAACTGTGAATTATGATGGATTTCAATTTAGGCTGTGAATATCGAACAGCAAGTATACAGGAGCGCTAGGCCTGATAACAGCAAAGGAAGGTGACAGTAAGTATCCGAGACGAAGTAGCAAATAATTACATGTAACCATAATTTTTGAACATTTCATTAAATGTTTTGCTTATTCATGTTTCAAGATGAGCTTCAAAGCAGACTAGATTTTGCATTCAAAATAATTAAAACTAATAAGGACTGTTTAATGAGCTGCTCTTGGATATGCTTGGTAACTCTTTTTAATAAAATTTAATTTTATGAAAATTTGCTTGTTCTTGTTTACCATACCTTTCGTTGTAAAGGACTGCTTTTTTTTATAACCAAAGCTCGTCCTCATCATGGACTGTGACATTATCCGTAATGTATTTTTAGAAGAAATGGAAAAATTATTCCCTTTACCCATGGAGCTCACCAAACATGGAATTTTGAAGATTCATACATCCACAAGCCGTGGATTCGATTCGAAAATGTTATTTATTAACGTACTAATTAAACCAAAAGTCTTCGGGATATCATTTTTTGTGATGCGCCGTGCGAACTGAGCCATCATTTTGATAATAAATTTGTCCGAATTACAAACGTTGTGTTGGAGTAAATCTGTTTATTATGAAATGGCTATCAAAAACGCTACTCCGAAGTCTAAAACGTATTACCTCATTGAAAATCACACGCCTAAAAACATCCTAAAAATCCTTGCATGAGCTTCTACAACATACTTAACCGAATAGATGTATAAAAATTATTGCCTTCATTTGAAGTTGAAAATCGCTGATAAACGTGATGGTCTTGATACTTTTATCACTTGATAAATACATTTTAATTTTTTATGGAAAAACCTTGTTAGAAGAGATGAGCAAAACCTAATATGGCTTAAAAGAAAACCGTCTTATGCTGTGTCGGCGGCCAGAGAGTGGAAGGCTGGCGATAAATGCATCCATCGAATTCAAGTCAACAGCAGCAATTGAGCCAGGTACACATGATGTAAGATGCTATAATTGCGATATTCGTGGACATATAGCAGCTGAGTGCCAGAAGCCTGAAACAGAAATTCGAGAAGATGACGTGTACGGCAACAAGAAGCATCAAGCGGCGTTCATCTGGGTGAGGGTTATACAAATTTATTTCATTTTGTTATTCAAAATTTCAAAAATATCTACTTTTTATTAAAATTCTTGATCGAAATGGGAAGACCAATCAGCTTTATAAAGCGTGGCACCACCATTTTATTTTTATTTACAATATTGTTGCGAAAATGCGAGGCAAATGTCAGATGAAAGAGAGAAGCCGATAACTAGTACATTCTAAACGAGAACCTTCGATAGCGAACAACTCGTCAGTTACAAAGTGAACTCGTTGGCGACAACATCAGTGCAGTTTATGCAAGTGATTGTAACTAGTCATGTGCATTTTTTATTTAACAATCCAGAAATCGTACCCGAAGGATTCAGAAAATTATCGAGGTTGATTCAGCAAAATCGTAACAATATGTACATACGTACATACATATGTATACCTACAGTGGCTGTTGATCAAGCGCCTACCAACAAGCACACACGACTACCGCACAAAAAGAAGATGACAAAAACTAACAAAGCGACCGGCAAGCTTAGTGAAGACGGCGTGGGTCGCTAGCTACGTACAATAACAAAATTATTCGCCAAGGAAGAAAAACAACACCAAGTTGGTCTCATTGACGCCGATATAAGCAAAAATAGCAAGATAACAATTTAACAGCAAATTCGAACTACTTAAAACAATAAAACAAAATATGTTTTTGGGCGCACCCGAGGTGTGGTCCAACCGAACTGGTTACGAACCCACTGGCACTACTCAAACAAATATGTTGAGTTTTTCAAATAATAAAACATTTATTTAAAAATCAAATTTTATCTTCCAATCCCTGATAGTGGACTTCATCTAGTATTTGCCTTTCATGATTTTTGTTTTAAAACTTCAGTAAATTGTAAAAAAGCATCAGAAAGGGAAGAGGTTGGCTCACCAAAATTAAAATCGAATTCAAGAAGATGAAGAGCCAGCTGGATTAGCTATATCGGCGTTAAATCAGCCTCACAGTTTTAGACTTTTAATAAAATTTTGTAAGGAACCAGGATGATATTATAACAATTTTTTTTTAGAGCAGTGCAAATTCAGTATAAAAGTCGTTTCAGTTTTGAGCTTCGATAGTTTGTTAGTTGAACAGCTTGCTCAATCACGGAACTCTGATATCCTGATGATACCTATGTTTATTCTATGAACAAGATTCTTCTCAATTTGCAGATGCTCAAACAACTTGGTGTATTTTACGAAGTTCGGGAGATTAATAATGCCAAGACATGCAATCTAAGCTTACCAACTGGCTTAGAAGATAACCCCAAAAATAATTAAGAAATTTTTAAGTTGAAAATTCTATAAGTGGCAAGGTAAAACATTTATGAGCCAACACGTTTAGTGGCAAAACTTTCGAAGTGTACTACCTTATAGAATTTTTGAATTATAGTGTGAATAATGAAAGAATTGCTACTTATAGAAAATTTTTATGACACATATTAATAAGCAATGAAATTTCGGAAATAAATTTTGTAATTGGTGTTAACCAAGGTTTATAGAATAGAAGGTATTCAACTTTCGGTGTTGAATAGAATAAAAAAAAATTAATTTTGTCTAAAAATATTGAAAATATTAATGCTGGTTTATTAAAGTAAAAACGCTTTTTTCTTTTTTTTTCCTTTTTTGCTATATGCAGTACACTATTTTATATATTTATTTTTTCGTTTTATAACGCACATATGTAGGTACAAAAGTATTGTATAGAGGTAAGCAAGCGATTGAACTTAAAAATACTGTAAGCTTATTATTTATAACAAAGTACTTAGCTTAGTTTTACATTAACGGGAAAGGAGGGGAAATTTCGTTTATCGGTTTTCCTTCAATTTTCTTTGCTTTACAGGAATTGGAAATTAAGGTACGTATTCCAGTGGATAAAGGGTGAGTATTTCAGATTAGGGTAAACAATTCAAGGTGAGTATAAATTTCTTATATATATATATATATTTATTTATTTAATTTAAATTTTTCTTTCAGAACTCTATGAGATCGACACTCATGTCTTCAACAGAAGGTTACGAGAAGAGCAAAATCATATGTTTAATGACAAAGTTGGTTCAATTTTATTGGTTGCCGAAAATTTTAAAATAATAAAATAAATTTGCATTATTTTATATATAAAATAGCATCACATTTTGATTATAAATCTCCAAAGCCCTGCCAAACAATTTTTTAAATTAATAACAATTTCAATTGGCGTCATGTAACACGAATGGAATGAGTAAATAACGTTAAACACGTTTAAAATACTTAAATTTCTCAGCGAACGGATAGTATTTACACAAATTTAATATAGAATATAAAGCTTTTTGGAAATGGATAATTCCAATCTTGTGAAAAGTTTGTGTTTAAAAATTCGAAGCGATGAAAGAGTGCAGTAGCCAAAAATTGGAAAAAATTGTGTAAGTGATTTATATAGTATTAAAATTTTCTAAAAAAAAATGAAATTTAGCAATATTGCATTATTGTAGCACTTTCGTAAGCGTCCTATTTTATGATAATAATTATATAATTTAGTGGCAAAATTTTTTAAGCCATAGTTATAGCTGAATTATATCAGTGTCGCATTATAATTCGAACAGCTCATCGTTCCATCGTGTGCGATATTCGCCGTTGCCAACGAGCAAGAGAAAGGACTTCACTGTTCAATTGCTTACTCAGTCCAAAGTAGCACCTGTTGGAAAGAGTTGGATTACAAGGCTGACATTATTGTTGGTGTTGATGCTGGTTCCTAGGTAGACGAAATTATCTACGACTTCAAAAATATGACTGTCAACAGTGACGTGGGAGCCAAGTCGCGAATGCGATGTCTGTTTGTTTGATGACAGGAGATATTTCGTCTTGTCCTCGTTGACTATCAGACCCATTCGCCTCGATTTTTTATCAAGCCTAAAGAAAGCAGAACTAACGGCGCGGTTGATGACGCCGATAATGTCAATATCATCAGCGTACGCCAGTAGTTGTACACTCTTATAGAAGATTGTACCTTCTCTATTCAGCTCTGTAGCTTTTATTATTCTCTCCAGCATCAAATTGAAGAAATCACTCGACAAGGAGTCACTCTGTCTGAAACCTCGTTTGGTAGCGAACAGCTCGGAGAGGTCCTTCCCAACTCTGACTGCGCTTCTGGTGTTGTCCAGCCTCAGCTTACACAGCCGTATAGTTTTTCGGGGATGCATTTTTCATTGGAGCTGGTTTCTACGTGGCGGGTCCCAAACCCAGCGCACAATCTCGTCAGGCGAGTAAGTTTAAAGTTTTTTACACATTTATATAGCAAACCACTTGCTTCAACAGACGCTTCAATTAGACCAGCAGACCCTTAAACCGAAGAAGTCGGAGTGGCCCGACTGAAGCTTCCTCTCTCATTAGCCGTGACCCGAGGCTCCACAAGGGTTGGTTACCGCATCTTGCACAAGGGTTGCTCACGTTTCCTGGGTGCGCGACGTGGGCGCAAGAGTAGCAATTGAATATAGCCTCGCAACTATAACTGCATACCCAGAACTTGACTACACCCCATTACATCCCATTTCAACACAATACATGTAAATTCTGATTTTTTCTCTTTTCGAAAGGCATAA